GTGTCCTGCAGGGCAGGTCCCAGGTGGGGCAGTGTGGCCTGGCCAGAGCAGCAGCATCCCATCTGGTGTGTCCTGCTCCTCASACCCCCTGTAGTGACCCTCCAAGTGTCTCTGCACTCTCCCTGGGTTGTCCTGCCCTGCCTCTGCTGTGGCTCCCACTAGCCCAGGCAGAGCTGTAAAGCAATCCCCAGCTGTATTTGTGCAGCCTTTCATCCGTGTTCATCCACAGAGCCTTATCCTGCAAAATTCTGCTTTTCCCAGCTGCTCTCCYACACCACCCTCTCTCTGCACCCCTCCTCATATGTGCATGTTGTTGGCAGCAATGCCAGCTGTCACCTCCATGTGAGATGCTGCAGAGCCTTTTCATGTTCTTCCTTYGARAAGGAACCATTTATTAACCATGGCMTCTCTGCTGCCCTTTTACACCAAACAYATCTTCTCTCCTGCACTGAATACSAAAATTTAACATTTYRYTAAAGKRAAGCTTAAGTCATGGTAGGTGGTGTCTATYCTTTCTTCTCCATTCTTATGGTCTTCTACCTTGTATAGAAAAAGAATAGATTGCTTTGGCATAATTTGTTTTTCACTGGCTCCTACTGACAGCTTCTTGTTTTCCTGTCTTTCTTCTGCGTGCATACAAATAATTTACTGATAAATCCCCATTTTCTTCCAGAAGTCAAAGAGYTGTGTGGTCTATAACTTTCCTTTTCTAAAGGTTGTCTCTTTCCACCTTTGCAGTCACAGCAATGGCAGATTTCTCACTTAGATCCATGTCCTTTGGGCTGCTGCTCACCACTACAGCCATGCCCTGTCCCTTTGACACTCTGGCAATAAATTATGACAGGACCCCAAGCACTATTTCCTTTTTCATGCCATCTCCAATCACTCTGAGAAGGTTTTGTAACAAGCATCCTCAGGCACTTCATCTTCCAGGCACTTCCCCTGGCCCATCTACTGCACTGGGTTGTGTCTGTTATGCAGAGGAGCAGGTGTCAGTGATGTCCCAATTCTGGAAGGAACAATCAGGTTCAGGAGAGAAGCATGTCCAGAGTCCAAACCTGAGCCTTTGCAGAGATGCTGAGAYGATGACACCAGTAAACTCAGATGTATGGTGCTCCAGCCGGTCAGTGAGGGAGGATTGTGTCTGACCAGGTCTGGTCTGAAACAGCCCTTGGAGCATGGCTCTCGCCCTGCCTCCATCCCTGGAGCCAGTCAGACACCCACCCCTGGGTGTACTGTCATCCCTGTCTCCTCCTTTCCCATCACTGTCCAGGTGTCTCCATGCCCACAGCCCTTCCCCATGCCCTGCACCCAGTTCCACCTCTGCAGGCTCCCCCTGGGTGCTGCCTGCTCAGCCCACCAGCCCCAGGCTCTCTYTGGTRTCCCTGAGCTGGTTTGGTTTGTCCYACMGCAGTTCCAGTGGTGCYGAGGCTGTGAGCTCCCTCAGCACAGAGCTGTGGGGCGGCTCCTGACCCGCTGTGTCCGCAGCTGACCCTCAGTGGGGCAGGAACCCTGCCCAGGGCTGCTCCCCATCCCCTCTGGAGCAGGGAACCACTGGTGAAGGATGCCTGGCTCCAGGATAAACATGGGACAGCTCAGAGCACCAGGGTCACTCTGGGCTAACAGATGCACATCTGCAGGGCAGACACCCCTTTGTCCATCCAGTGACCCCACTGCAGCCCCAAACTCACYCCCCAGCCCTTCTGCTGCAAGGTCTGGGCCAAATTGGGCTGCAGCTCACCTGCTGGCCATCCTAAGCTTGCTTGAGAGCCCTCTCTGGTCAACGTGGTGCTTTCCAACCACTCCAGCTCTCCAGCAAGAGCCCAGGACAACTCCAGAAATGAGCAGCAACCTCCTCCATTTCGTGTCAAGCTGTTGTTGTTGTTGTTTTAACCAAGTTTTCTTTTTTCTAATTATAGGATGTTGCAGAACAATCAGCTGAGCCGCATCCCTGCAGAGGCACTGAGGGATCTTCCAAATCTGCAATCTCTGTAAGTCATTAAAAATCAATGCTGTGAGCTGCACACTCCCTCGGGGGCCCCAGGCTTCCCAGCATTTGAGTCATTAGTTCCTTTGTCAAGGATGTTCTGTTCCTTCTTCCTTTTCTTTTCCAATTTATGCAAAGATTACTGTCACTTAGCATGGAAGGGAGGGAAGGGTGGTTTTCAAGGAAGAAACRCTGTCTTGGTAGAGGATGTTGAAATTACAGCTCCCCATGTGTGCATTGTGATGAAAAGGCCACTAGTGCCAGTGCATATTTCAAGAAACACTGGAAAATATCCACCCAGAGAGTCCTTGTCCTCTGCACTGAGGACCACAGTGGGGAAGGGACCTGCCAGCGAGCACAGGAGACACTCTGCTGTGACCAAGGGCAAGCTGGGTTTTACCCAAATCCAGGGAAATTGTATCMGGGTAGAACTGCTTTAAAGTCTTCAGGTGATTCAGCCCTTGGAAGGAGCCAAGGCTGTGACTGTGCTTTTCCTTGAAAGGAACCACATCCACTGCAGGTCTKTGCTCCCATGCCCACTGAAAATCACACGACTTTGGAACATTTGGAGTTTTACCAAGTATGGGTACATTGTGACCAGACCCTGGTAGTGCTGGTGAATTCAGGGAAGGTGTGTTTGGGGCAGGGAGCRCAACTGGAGCTGGTAAGAGCGTTCTGAAAAACTGACCTTATCCCTTAATCCCGAACTTCAGTCCCAGTCTTACACTGATGAGCCCTTTCATCACAGAAATGTTGGCTGGGAGCCATTCCTGGGAGTCTCTTGCTTGGAGCAGGACTATCCCAAATACTTAGGGGTCTATCCAAGCATAAACATTCCCCTCTTGTGGAAGCCTGAGGCTGTTCTTCCTGGGGAAGAAACTTTTCTAAGTGCAACCTAAAACCACTGGAAGGCAGTTCATGGCCATTGCTCTTTGTTTGATCACCTGGAACGACCCTGAAGGGCTTGGTTCCACCATCTTTAGTTGCAGGTCCCTGGCAGTTCCCCTCTCAGCCTCTTCTCTGCTAARTGAAACCAACCCTGCTCCTTCCACTTCTACTCAGGGGCAGGACCCTGACTCAGCTGCTCCACTGGACCTTTCTCATTCTTCTTTGTCCTTCTTACACTGGGCAGCCCAAAACTGGGCACAGTTCTCCATGTGTGGCCCGCCCAGTACCCAGTAGGAGTTTCTGTAAATATCAATTTAAATATTAATTGGTAATGGGGGTGTTGGCTGTGCAGGATACGAACGTTCTTTCTGCCAGAAGAGATTTGAAACATTTGTTGTTGAAATATCACTGGCACGTGGTTGTGCTTATTATTAAACTGTGTCGACACAGTCACCACCAGTGCCGGAGTCAGGACCCCCCACTCCAGGGATTTTGAGATTAGATTGCTCTCCAAATGGCTTCTCTTTCAAGGGAAGTGTGACATGGAAGGCATTGCCCCAGGAACACCCCTTTCACCCTGAGCCTGGCTCTCCTGTGCCTGTGACAGTGTGTGACAGCCAGTGTGTGACAGCCAGTGCCACCAGAGCCCATGGCTGCACAGAGCCAGCCTCTGTTTCTGAAGGTTCCTGCACAGCCACCACTGCAGCCCTGGCCACCATCCTGGGGGATTTGTCCCATCCCGATGGATGGAGACCTGGGCTAGGGCTGGGAGGTCCCCATGCTCCATCTCCTCAGCCCACAGCCCCTGCCAAAATACCACAGGGCACGTGAGAAATGCAGAACACTCTAAGAAGCCGCTGGAGTACTTTGGGGATGGTTTGAAGGGCAGGGTGGGAGGATGGCTTGTGAGAATTGGCAGAGGTTCCTGCTCCTGGTGCCCTTCGAGGCCACCTCAGCCAGGGTGGTTCTCCCAGGKATCTCCAAGGCTGGGTGAGGGGGAGTTGGGCCAGCTGGGATCCAGTGCTCTTCCTGCAGAAACTGAACAGTAAAAGCAAATTTTAGGAAGAAATAAGCTGCTTTAAGCAACCTGGGCATAAAAYCAGAGGGCTGAGTATGAGAGCAGGTCTGGCTTGGACATACCTAATGCCCATCACAGCAGCACTGCTTTTGAGACCAGCTGTGTCCTGTCTGCCCCCAGAATGTGCTGTCCAAGCTGCTCAGCTCCCCCCAGGGTCTGAGGTGACTGAGCAGGGATCTCTTGCCCTTCCTGAGCAACCTTGTTCCTGTGAACCAACCTGTCTAGGCTGTCACTGCCCTCCCAGAGCTTCTCTCAGCCCCTGAGCCCTGCAGTTCAGCCAGGTCCTTCTCCCCAGCAGTGCACAAGCTGCCATGCCTGGTCCCTCTGGGCTYCTCTTCTCCTCATCTTCCATTTTCAAGATACCTGTCCTCATTCCCCCACAAGAGAGCCACATCTTCTGTGCCTTGCCCAGCTCCTCCTCTGAGGCTCGGGATCCTTTCTCAGCCCCTCATCATTCCTGAATCCTGCCCCAGACACCAACTGAGCACAGAAGGGACTGACATTGTGACTTCACACTCCTGCCTCTATCTTAGAAGAAAAACAACAAACTGTTAGGTCTGGCAAGACCTGAGTTCAGGATCGGAAAGGGATCGACACCTTTTGACCTGCAGGACTGATCAATTCAGTGCTCCCAGCTGCACCAGCCAGACCTACAGCACATCCACCAGCCAGCAGGCACAGTGGGAGCAAGTAAGTTCACAAGGAAACTCCTGCAGGGAAAATGAACTTTTCATGGGATGGAGTTCAAGCCATTTCCTCTTGTCCCATCACTTGAGACATGGCAGAAGAGCCTCACCCCCCTGTCACTACAAGCTTCCTTCAGGCAGCTGCAGACAGCAGCTTTCTCCTCTTCCCACAGAAGCTGCACAGCAGAGACCCTTGGGCTCAGTGAAGGCACAAGAACCASGTCTGGTGACACAGCCTGGCATGGCTGCAGGCCACAGCCCTGCTCCAGAGGGATGTGGACACTTCTGAAGGCACACAGTGCTACAAGGGGGCAACACTGCTACTGTGCCTCACTGCTGTAACCTGGAAATCATCCATGGTGTGATGATTTCCATCCCCACCCACCGTGGGAGCAGCCAGTGTTTGCAGAGCCCTGCAGCTCTCCCTCTAGCTCATGTTCAGAGATGCTCTCTGAATGAGATGGACAGCACTGTGTCTGAAGGGGAATCCAGGGCTAGGATGATCTGCTTGGTTTCCACTGGTGCTGCCATGGCTTCTCCAAATGTAGCAGCTCACCTCAGACTGAGAGACTCCACGCAGGTCTGCATTAGAGTGATTTTTTCCCCTCTTTTTCAAATATCTGAGTCATTTCCCACAAGTTTACGAGACTCTTGTGTATCCATTGCCAAAAAACTCACCAGCCTGGAACACCTATAGGTCACCCACAGCATGGTTTTCAAGCATCACCAGTCAGGCCATCTGAGCCCCAGTGTATTTGTGCTGCCCAGAGACTCCTTTTTTCCCTTCAGAATGGGAAGTGGCTTTATGGCACATCAAGACAGTCCATGAGTTATCAGATTTGTACAGTACTTGGTGAAATATTAACTCTCTGTTTGCATGTTGGCAACACACCCTAAGCAAGCAGGACAGCTGGGAAGGGGGTGAACATGGGAGCCAACAGGAGTGGGATGGAACCAGCACCAGACAGAAAGGGATTGTGTGTTGGTTATTTTCTTGCTCTTTCAGATGTTTACATTTGGTGTCCATGTTTTTCATTCTGGGATTCGAGCAGGATTTGAAGGGAAATGTGTATCCCTCAGGGACAAACTGGCCCAGGAGAGGAAAGGCAGGCTTCTCAATGCACAAGTCTTTTCTCAGGATTACAGCAAAAGCAGAAAAACTAAGTGGAGACTGAGAGCAATTGCTTTCAACTTAGTTCTATCAGAAAAACTTATCAATTCAAGGGATTAGGTGACTGGACAAGTGGGACCGAAAGGGATGTTCTAGCCAGGAAAGTCATTCCTCCTTTTATCAGGTGATGATGCATATTGGAGTGCCCTGTGCAGAARGATCAGAGTCAGAGGCACAGTCAGAGCATGAGCTCTCCACTCCAGAGTGCCTGACCCCAGGAAAGCCTGGGGGATTATATTTGCATTGTTTATGCATCCCCTGCCTTCCCACAGCTGGCTCTGGGCAGCCTGGGCACAGGCTCCAGCCAGCCCTCTGTACCAAAAGCAGAAACTCCCTGCACCATAGCCTGGGTCCTGCTCACATCTGTCTCTAAAAGAACAGATAAAAAAGGAGAAACATTTACACTGCTCTGATTCTGTGGGCCTCCCCCAGTTCTTGCCTTGAGATGAGGACCTGTCTTCAGCCAAGGAGCTTCCTCAAAGCTGCCACCCCATGAGATTCAGGCATACAGAACTTTGCATGACAGGTGTGGTGTCACCCACAAAAGACATGTTGTGGAACCAGCACTGGAAAATCATTAATTATAACTATTTATATTTAGTATTTATATTTAAGTAATTTTACTCTGGTTCCCTGGGAGCCCACATTACTGAAGATCCAGTCCTTCCTGGACAAACAGCAAGCCAAAAGAAAATGGTTCAGGCAATTTTGGGTGAGATGGGAGAGTCAGAATGTTCTTCTGTGAGTTCTTTTTATTGGATATTCCTATTGCCTTGTGTGACCCCGATATCCTTCCTAACCAATGAAGACACAGCCCTGAGTTTTGGCAAATAATTTCAAACACAACAAGAGGGTTTCCTCCTGAAAACCCTAACAGAGGTGCTGGGAATACCGCCCAGCCAGGAGGAGGTTTCCAGCCATTCAACATAATTCCTTGCCAAAAGGGCATTTGTGGGTCCAGGCTGCCCATTGCCCATCACCCCATGTGCTGACMCAGAGTTTGGCTGCTCTGGGTTGGATTACTGGGTGTCACCAACCATCAGGCACCTCCTGTAGTCTGCACCACCCCTCCTCAGTAGGTTTGGCTTTCCCCAGCCAGAGGTGTCCGTGGCTCACTGTGCCCCGTGGGTGTCAGCCAGCCTGAGGAGGCAAAGTGTCAAACCCCCCTAGGCAGTCCCATC